GAATATTTCAAGGATTTAAGATTTCGAAAGAATATTAAAATGCCAACAAAGGAATTTTGCTTGCAACAGAGGCTTAACATTCCTTCTTAAAAATGATAGTCGAAATTAATTGAACAAAACGAAAACACAAAATGATTTCGAATGTTTTGTCCACAATTTTGATCGGAATATACCTTAGTCGAAAATTGTACAACAAATTTAAACAGACCGAGCTTGTTTTTTAGTCAAACTTGTTTGAACTTAAGCACACACACACACAAACACACACACACACACACACACACACACACACCCCCCATATATATATATATATATATATATATATATATATATATATATATATTCATGTGAAATGAGAGCGAATAGAATCCAATTCCGACGTTCGTAACATTTAAATTAAAAGAGGCTCAATACATAAGTAGAGTAATATTATTTATTTTATGATATTACATCAACAACATGTAAAAACGCTACCTAAATGCAGTAGCAATTGTCTACTCACCAGTTAATTACTAACGCGAGATTTGTGAATACACATCGAAACCTGATAGCATTTCTGTAGCGCTCTTACATGATTTTAATGTAATATCATAAATTTATATATATATATATATATATATATATATATATATATATATATATTATTTTTTTTAAAGATATTATTCCAGCGCGACACAGAAATTACTGTGTTTCGAAACTGGTCACCCGTATTCAAGTTTAATTTCAATATTATACCTTAATTGTTCTATGACGGCTTCATCCTCAAACGATGTTTGAAATAATTAAGCAACGAAATGTTTTACTCATTTCTAGTTTTGAAATTGAGGTGTAATCTGGGCGTAATTTTTAATTATCAAGGGGTGTCTGCTTTGATAAAAGTAGGTGTGTTTGTTATATGTCAAGTTTTTGGAGTCGTTTAAGGTTGGGTTGTTTTTCTTTTGTCTGGCTACAATGGCTGATAAGGTTTAGTAAGGTTTAATATTGAAATTAAACCTGAATACTGCTGACCAGTTTCGGAACATAGGAATTTCTGTGTCGCGATGGAATCATAGTTTTTAAAAAAAATAATTATAACCTTGGCTCTACTTCTGTATCGAGCACTGTTTTTGGGGGTTTTTTTTTTAATAAAAACTAAAATACTAAGAATTTCGGATCATCATTCTAACAGTTCTTTCCTATTATATCAACACACACACACACACACACATATATATGTCCCCCCTATATATATATATATATATATATATATATCCGAGCAGATTTTGAAACGTTCGTTCTTGCCCTTATCCAGTGCCCAAAATCTTTTCAAATGACCTAGTAAACATCAGAATATAATTTGAAACCTCTTCTTGATCGGACCGAAGACTTTTCAGTGCATTCATTCCAATAGAAACATCTAGAGAGAAACCAAAGTTATTTTCATGTGCAGTCTTTTGAAACGTTCCCTTTTTAAGTCGCGCCACTCGACACAACACGACGCCATTTGCAATTTTCTTTGCGTTTCTGAATAAAATGGCGCCCGAAAAGAACGACTGGATATCTTCTGTTCAAATTTTCTGAACGACATCATAGAAATGATAAATCATGAAAAAAAAAGTCTTTCTGGCTTTTTTTTTAATTTTGTTTTAGAGAGAGAAAAAAGAAGTTTTCTTCGCTGAGCCTTTGTTCGCCAAAGTTTGTTTATAATCTGCTTTGCAACGTTGTTCCCAGTTACTGATCTTTTATATATATATATATATATATATATATATATATATATATATATATATATATATATATATATATATCAATGTATGTGTGTACTCGCGTATGCTATTCTACACTATTTCAATATCTTTTTCTCTTCCTAATCCTTTTCGCCTTATAAACACCATCACTTGTCATCATCTATTATTGTTATTATTATTACTATTATTATTATTATTATTGGTATGTTATTCTCGTTACTACGTAGATATAAAGGGTTAGTGTTATCCAAAAACAAGTCAGCACTTTCATTCTTCCAAATGATTATATTTATAACAACTTAAAAGTTGCCTTTTCGGGCGTCATTTAAGCTAGCTCCTGCAGAGGGCTCTTAATTAGGTCTTCATCAGAATAGGTAGGGAATAGTAGTAGATGCGACTGGCAACAATAAGCTACAGAAGTTCTCAAAATTGATCGCTGCATTTAAATATTGCATTAATATTTAATCTTACCCTTTGAAAGTTCAACGATCATTTTTCTGCCGCCACTTAATTTTTAAAAAAAATTGATCTACGCAGGTCCTTACGTTCCGTAAAAACAATTATTTTTTATTTCACGGGTGACTTTCACTGGATTACGCAATTCATTTGGAATTCGCCGAAACCAATCGCAGTATTGAAAACTTGGGAATCTCAAATTCCTGGGTTGCAGGTAAGGATTCGGCCCGGGATGTTTTTAATTTGCCCACTGAGTCGGCCTCTTTCCAAAATGGTATGATATGTTGGGCTACTGCCACTAGGAGTAAAACTGAAAGTACGGATATTTCTATTTTGAAACACCGTAATTTGAGAACAGTATTTTTTTATTTGAACATGAGCTATTGAAAGTTAGAGAGTTGTGTCCCTTTAATTGTCTTTATCAGTAGAAGCCAAGATGGCGGAATCCGAAAACAATCGCAGTAATGAAATTTTGGGAATTCAAAATTTCAGGATAGCGGGTCCGTATCAAGCCCGGAATTTTTTTTTTTAATTTGCTCACGGAGTGGGCCTGATTCCAAAATTGTATGATATGTTGGGTCACGTCTTCTAGAAGTAAAGCTGAAAAAGTGTGACACATTGATATCCGCATTTATTATATAGATGGCAGACACTTGCATTTTTGCTATTTGTTTTAGAGAGCGGGACAAAAAGAGATCTTTTCTTCTGTGAGCCTTTCTTTGTCCGCCAAAATCCGTTTATATTCTTCCTTGCTGCGTTATTTCCATTTCTTCTTCTATGGGCCGTGTCCCTCCAAGGCGTTGGCGATCATGGCTCTCCACAATCTCCCATCCTTTGTAGATCTTTTGTCATTGTACTATCACTGCCATACCTGGGCACCTCGACGTGGTGTAATGGTTAGCAAGTTTGCCTCTCTAGATCAGTTACGACTGAAAAGTGAGTTCGATCCTCACTAGGTGCCCCATACTTTCGGCCTTGTGCCACATCTAAGCTACGCTTAGAAAATAACATGGGCATATCGAGATGATGTAATGGTTAGCGTGCTTGTTTCGCTAGAACAATTACTGAGTAGTGAGTTCAATCACTCACTGGGTGCTCCCTACTTTCGGCCTTGTGTCACATCCAAGCTACGCTTGGAAAATCACTATCACTGCCATACACTACTCCGTCATCCATTCAATTAAGCTCGGTAGGTTGGTTATGTGTTGCTTTCCTTTGTCTCTCTGACCGTCAATAGGTCCTGTGAGTATCAAATTTTTCAAGCCATCTTTCCTCAGTATGCGCATCCGGGAAGTTCAACTGTTTTTTCCTGATGTTAAGTATAAGTGTCCTTTTAGTTGTTATTGTCTCCAGAACTTCGTTGTTGCTCACATATGAGGTTTATCGTGTTCTCAGTATGTTCCTGTAGAACGACATTTGTGTTATTTCAAGTGTTTTCCTTCGTGATGAGATTGTCCCAGATTCACTGCCATATGGGAGGACTGATAATGGCTAACCTTTCAGTACTTCTTTTTTTTTTTATTTCTAACGATAATTTTCCGTTTCTTAATACTTTGCTCAACTTTTGTAAGGCATCTTTCGCTAAGCCAATATACCTTTTGATTTCCGTGTTGTACTTTTCCCCCTCTTTTAATACGCTTCACATGTTTTATTGTCATTTTACTTTCTAAAACTTTCGTTACTTTATTTACACTATTTATACACTATTTATATTCGGACTATTGTCCTCATCTTTATTGTTGTTATCACAATGTTTCGGTCGTTGTGCTCACCGGCCTTCCTATCGATATGGGTAACCTGCAGGGTATTCTGAAACTTTTATTTAATTTACGGGGGAAGACTGCTCATATCAAATGATACGTACGAGAAATGATCTTTTATTGTCATGTGGCCGTAAGCCTATCTTCTGTTTTATTTCCATATCTTTCTCATACTTTAATCTTAGACTTCTATTTTTAAACTGACTCTTCTCCTCCATTTTCTCCTCCACCTCCTCCTTCTCCTCAAACTTCTCCTCCTTTTTCTCTTCTTTCTTCTTCTTCTTCTTCTTCTTCTTGTGTTTCATATATTATTTTCTTTTTTCTTCTTTTTAATCTTTCTTTTTAATATCTCATTCTTTTTTATGATTCGGTCGTCGTTTTTCAATTTTTTTCTTCTTTTGTTTATTTTCTCTTTCAATGTCTCTCTCTTTGTTTTATTATTTTCTTGTTCTTTTTCGTCTTTTTCCTTATTAGCATTTTCTTTTCCTTATTTTCATTTTCTTTTCTTTCTGTCTTCATCTTTCCTTCGTTTCTCTTATTTTTGTTTATTCTATCTTTTTTTTCTTTCTCTTTTATACGCTGTTCTTCATTTCATTTTTTTATTCTATTTCTTCTTTTTATCATACTCTCTTCTACAAACTCTTCTTCCTCTTTTTCTCTTACATCTCCTTGCTTATTTCATTTTCTCTTTCTCTTTCTCTTTCTGCTTTTTTTCTTTTTTTTAATTCCTCTTTTCCTTATTCTATCTTTTTCTCTTTCCTCGTCCTCCATTTTTTTAAATCTCAAGCGTAATGCTATTATTTTTATATTTTTTATTCTTGATGTCTATTCTTTCCATTCGCTTTGTTGAAGTCTTTCTTTCTTTCTTTCTTTCTTTCTTTCTTTCTTTCTTTCTTTCTTTCTTTTCTCTATTCATGGTATCCCCATCATAAACGCCATCATCATAACATTTAACCACACCTCCTTTTTCTCTTATATATTTGGCTCATTTTGTTTGCCTTCAGCTAATTCCCATGCAGTTCTGATCTCCAAATTCTTTCGTAATGTTCTCAGGTAGCTACACTTAGTCCTTGGCCTCCTATCTCAAAATCTAAATAGTTTGTTTTGCTAGTAAATAAGAAAGGAACACACGGTAAAAAAATTGTCCGATGTTTTCAACCAGTTTGAACAAAGTTATCCACAAAATATTCCCTTTTGAGTTTTCTTGTTTTTTTGTCTTCTCCACTTTCACCTGGTATCAAGCCAAAATACGCATGCGCAGCCTACCGCATGGCGTACGCTCTTTCTTGAGAAGATTTGCAAAAATGATTAAGCAATCGCTTTCCGACACCATGTCTAAATCACTGCGCATACGGACTAAAGAACGCTCAGCAAATGTCGCCTTGACTCCTATTCTCTCAATTTGAAAAACGTTCATGCATTGCGCTATAATCTGAACATCTAAACCTCCCGTTTGCTCACGTTCGAATTATATCAAATTACATATTATGTCTACAAATGGAACTAATGGAAAATATATATTTTAAGGTTTAGCAAAGTTCTTACAAGAGAGATTATTATTAATAGCTTTTTCGTTTTATTTTATCATTGTTGCCTTTTATTCCAATGGCTAGTTTGTTTTTACATCCAATGACCAGTAAGAAAATGATTTGAAGAAAGTTTGATTGGTTGGTTGTTTTGTTTTATGGCATATCAGCCTCAGTGGGTCATTTCATGCCAAAAATTTTTTTTTTTTTAAATAGATTCATTGCGATAGTTTGGTAAAAAAAGGTGTGTATGTATACATATATATTTGAACCATTTATCAATTACTCATATTTTTTTAATACAATCCAACTTTTAGGAAATTTACAATCTTGGATGGTTTTATTTTCGTAAAATTTTTTTTGTTTTTTTTGTTTTTTTTTTAAAATTACTTGGTAATATTATGTACACACTATTTTGTATTCTGAGTTCTATTCTTCAATTCCTTTTCAAAGAATGTATAGCTGTTTGTATTACTGGTATTTTTTAAACTATTGCTGATAATAATTTTTCCTTCAAAAATTATTGCTGATAACAATTTTTTTTATTACAAAGTATTTCTGGTATAAAATTATTTTTACACAAGTTTGCGTGTTAATTATTTCTCCATAGCTGGGAACCTAAAAGGTGCTACCACCCTGGGTCAGGGTGGACATGGGAACACCAGCAATTAAGAGGTAGTTTCACGCTCCTAAAAACCTCCTGATCAGAGGCCTTTTTGTTGGGCGTAGTTTATTGCCATACCCAGAACGCGGATGTAGTTTATCGTTATACCCAGGACGCGGATGTAGTTTATCGTCTTACCCAGGACGCGGATATAGTTTATCGTCTTACCCAGGACGCTGATGTAGTTTATCGTCTTACCCAGGACGCGGATGTAGTTTATCGTCTTACCCAGGACGCGGATGTAGTTTATCGTCATACCCAGGACGGTGAAGATAGTTTGAGTCCACTTAATCATACGAATACATTCTTAATTATTTTATGTACATTATGATATTTTTTACTCTTAATAGTATCAGGTGATATAATAGCCCTAGGCTGTCTGAATATTTTTCGACGGCATATTGTCATTTTATTTTCTATTTTGCCGTACCGTTGAAGCAATATCATCACATAAGTCCATTCTTTGTATTCCTTCTTTTGAAAGCGAACAGTACTTAACATTTCTTACATTATTTATATTCGGATTATTTTTGTTATTATTACAACTTTTCGGCCATCTTGCCCCCCCATCCTTCTTCAGGTGCTTCTCGATGCAAACCTTCAGAGAATTTGAAACTGAACCCTTTATTTAATCTACAGGGAAAGCGTGTTCTCGTTCCACTGCCAATGTCTTGAGCAGCGTTTCTCATCAACCTTTTTACCGTTGTGGAATATTTGAAATAGTTTTCATGTCAACTGGAACACCCGAATAAAAATTATTATATACTATTTTTAATATTTATCTCTTTTCTGAATCACTCAGAGATAAACAAATTCGCCAGGTAATGGTCCTGTTAACTAACTAGTGAAGGCGGTTTCACACTATCACGTAGACATCGATAAATACATTCACGCTGTAACATAGACATCAATAAATATATTCTCTATGATTATTATAATATTAAATAATATAGGGTGTCTCAATAACCTGGACCGATTTTAAATGCGAATTAAGTTTAAACGTCTAATGTTTTTTCTTTTTCTTTCAGATTTAAGTCTTTGACAATTTCAGCCATGGAAAGTTTAACAATCAAACAACGTGTTAAGTCTCTTACGAAAATGGACGTTCAAATTTATAAATATACAGCCCAATGATTCCGCTAGCAAAAAAGGTACACCACGCAGTAACCTTTTTCGGATGCAGTGGCTTTCCAACAATCTTCCTTGGACTTTCATCAGCCCAAATGCGACTATTCTGTTTAGTAACGAATCCACCAAGATGAAAATGGTCTTCATAACTAAAGAGGACTTTTTGCGAAAAATCTTCATCGGCCTTTCTTTGCGCGTGCACCCAATTGACGAATGCACGGCACTCCAAATGGTCAGCAGTTTTCAGTTCTTGTGTCGATTGAATTTTGTAAGCGTGTAGAGACAAATCTGTTGTCAAAATTCGATGTAACGTTGTTGTGGATAGGTTCACTTCCTGCGCACGATGACGAATAGAGGTGTCTGGATTTTCGGCCATATTCTCGTGCACTGCAGCAATGTTTTCAGCTAAACAGCGTAAACGAGCATGCAATGGTGTTTTCACATTTGCCACAGACCCAGTATATTTGAATTTACGAACAATTTTTCCAGTCGCACTCTCGGTTGTTCGATTTGACTAAAAAATCGCGAACGTCCATTTTCGTAATAGGCTTCGATAACTTTAACACGTTGTTTGATTGTTAATCTTTCTACGGTTGAAATTGCCAAAAACTTAAGTTGTTAAATGTGAAAGAAAAAGAAAAAAATTATTAGACGCTTAAACTTAATTCACATTTAAAATCGGTCCGATTTATTCGAACGTCATATATAAGAGGTTGAAGGATTTTTTTATGGTAACCAAGGAGTTTCCAACATTACGTCGTGAGTGTATAGTAAAATTACGAATATAAAATTAAATAAAAATGATTCAAAAATGCATATTGAGCCTTAGGCTCAAAACTAAAATGCATGCTATTTATCATTGTTTCTTGGGGAGCCCCTATCGACTTCTTGCAAAAACCTTGGGTCCCTAAGAACACCGGTTGAAAAATATTGGCCTAGAGGTATCCTGTCTTATTTTTATTTAGTTGAGCTCAACTAATACTGTTTCTACTCAGTCTAAATCTGCTCTACCCCTCCAAGCAAGTGAACTATTTACTATATTGCCAAATTCACAAAGCAATATTTTAATCAATTAGAGTATTGTCCCGTGAGATAGGATACTGAACATGTGTTCAAATCTCTTTTATTTACTTCTGATTAATGCTGATTTGTTTAAGTTTTAGAACGTAAAAATGATATTAACCTATTAAAGTTCACGGTTTTTTTATACAACCCATTTCACTTATTGTGCGTGAAGTGCTTTATGCTGATCAAGGTATATCATGTGTATTGTTTTTTAGCACTCTCCCTTCCCACTAGCAGTGGCTGTAGCCATTTTCCCCAAATGGTAAGGATGTCATTTGTTTATGACATACGTTTTCTGTATAAGACTAGGAACAGAATTTGGAGAATGTTATCTAAATATTTCCTTTTTAAAATAACATTCGAGGTAGAGGGTTACAGTGAAAGAGACAAAGTTTGTGGGAATATTTGAGGAAGACAACGGTTGACCCTAGACTTGGAAAGGCCTCGGTTTGTGAGAGGAAGCTACTCGAGTGGAACTTACATCTCACCAAATTGATACGTGGAGAATGAGGGTGGTCTGCTGTAACGTGGTTCTTAGCCGTTAGAACTGGTGGAACTAAGGAATGTAGTTCGTTTGAACACTTTCTACCGATAGAGCAGAGAGAGGCTTGCGATGGTTCGTCTGTAAGAAAGGAGTTGTAGGTTGGAATGATAATTCCTCACCCTCTAGGACGCGGATACGCTTTTGGACACCATAGACATAGAAAAGTGAGACAGTCAGTTCTTGTCCATAAATGGCATCAGTACTCCATTTTCGCCTTGATCTGGATATTGTAAAGGCCTAGGACAAAACGAGAAGTCAGATACTTATTGGTTCCGTAGAAGGAACTGACCATTTATTCCAGCATCCTTTTTGATAGATCGTACGTATGAGTTCCGCTTGAGATCTAGGTAGAGTTTGAGTCCAGATAAGCGCTTAGGGCACGGGGTCTCCTTGATATAGGATCCGTTTATCACGATAAGTTAAAATTCAGGGTCCGATGACGATCGAACGTCACTAGTTTTGTTTTCAAGGAATTGAATAAGAATTGAATAAGACCAGCCTGTTTTTCTCCACCGAGCTGTTAGAACTCGGTCAGAGGAGAGATCAGCTGCCAAATTCTGATCTTCTAGAATTTTGGAGGTGCAAACATATACCGTTGTATCATCAACATAGATCTTCACAAATGATTAGCACCTGAATTTCTAATGATCGGCATGTGTTAAAATTAACATCCCAAACGATGGATACGAATACGGAAGATTTTTTTTCTGATAGTGTTAGGTTGAGTTAGAAATAAATTCCGTTATTGGTTATCGAATTTCTTCTTTTTTTTTACAATGATGTTCACCATTTACACCCCGTACAACTCCCAAGAGCCACTCGAGGTAGAGGTTTAGAATTAACATCCCAAAAAATGGATACGAATACGGAAGAGATTTTTTCTGATAGTGTTAGGTTGAGTTAGAAATAAATTCCGTTATTGGTTATCGAATTTCTTCTTTTTTTTTACAATGATGTTCACCATTTACACCCTGTACAACTCCCAAGAGCCACTCGAGGTAGAGGTTTAGAGAGTAACAGGCACAATTTATGGGGATATGTGGATATGATATCGGTTGATCCACTATTTACATTATTCGGACTATTGTCCCCATCTTTGTCGCCATAATTATTACAATGTTTCGGCCGTT